ATGATGATAACAACAATAACAACAACAACAACAACAATAATAATAATAATAATAATAATAATAATAATAATAATAATAATAATAATAATAATAATAATAATAATAATAATAATAATAATAATAATAATATTATTAATATTATTAATATTATTAATATTATTAATATTATTAATATTATTAATATTATTAATATTATTAATAATATTAATAATATTAACAATATTAACAATATTAACAATATTAACAATATTAACAATATTAACAATATTAACAATATTAACAATATTAACAATATTAACAATATTAACAATATTAACAATATTATTAATATTATTAATATTATCAATATCAATAATATCAATAATATCAATAATATCAATAATATCAATGATATTAATGATATTAATGATATTAATATTAATATTAATATTAATATTAATATTAATATTAATATTAATATTAATATTAATATTAATATCAATATTATTAATATTAATAATAATAATAATAATAATAATAATAATAATAATAATAATAATAATAATAATAATAATAATAATAATAATAATAATAATAATAATAATAATAATAATAAAAAATAATAAAAAATAATAAAAAATAATAATAAAAAAAAAAATAATAATAAAATAATAATAATAAAATAATAATAATAAAATAATAATAATAAAATAATAATAATAAAAAATAAATAAATAAATAAACATAACAACATCAACAATAATAATAATCACAAAAACAGCAATAATAATTTTAATAATAATTATAATAAGTAGTAGTGATAATAATAATAATAATAATAATAATAATAATAATAATAATAATAATAATAACAATAATAATAATAATAATAATAATAATAATAATATTAATAATAATAATAATATCACAAATACCATTTTCATTAACAATATTGTCATACTAATGATAATTTTTATAGAGTACAATTAATACAAAGTTCTATAAAAAAAAACTAATTTCCTTCCAAAATAATTATGGATGTCATTAACCACTGGCAACCGATACATGCACTCTCCACTATAATTCAATTTTGTGAATCTTGTTTACACAAAGACAGCTCCATTCCACACAGGAACGTGATCTATATGGAGTCAGTTACTTGGCCTACATCATTCCCTGAATTTCTGGGATTATTCTTTTCCTAATTAAGATTTATTATATTATCAATCCAACATCACCAGAAAAATGTTTTAACAGTAGTTGTTGAATGTCTCTACACATAGATGGCTCTCTGAGTGCTTAGCCACAAAGGAGTCAATTAATGGACCTTGTGACCTCACCTGATTTCACCCTTTTCTTGAGTTTGCAGGAAAAATGTATTTTTTACTAATGCTATCAATATCGATGTTGTGACTTTTATTAAAGACATTATAATCATCAGTGTTATTAACATTACAAATAGCAATATAAGATACCCGAAAATATTTCTAAAAAACAACGAAATGGGTAAACAGGTGAGACAGATAGTCTTGTAATTGGCTCACTGGCTACTTAGTACTTGTGGAGCCTTCTACGTGTAAAAACAATAAATAAATAAAATTCACAATGGGCAGGGCATGTAATCGTATCATCCCTTGCACCACTGGGTTAAGATTATAAAGATTTTTTTTCTTTTTCAATTGTAATATATATTTTTAAACGTGTTTCCAAAATTCAAGAAAAAGATACATGTGTAATCAGATAAGATTAGTAACTGTCTCCTCTGTGACTTAGCAGTTCTGGAGCAATGTATGTGTAAACAAAATCAATAAAATCACAGTAGACTGGGTATGTATGCACATGCCCTCTAGACATCAACAGATTAAGAATATCAAGAACTATTAGACTATTTCCAATAGGATTTATAAAAATATAATCATCATTAGAATAAACTAATAATCTCTTCGCTGGTATCTAATGTTTTCATAAAAAAAAATATATATATATAGGCATGATTTTTTTTCCTTCCCATTCATACAATACAACATAAATAATTTAACAATCCACTCATCAATAGTGCCAATACGGTTGATTTATTAATTTAAAAGACTATAATTATCTCTGCTGGCAAAATTACCACAGAACATAGAACTACTGTGGTCCTACATGTGCTCCCATTGCTAACCCAAAGGTATACAGTCCGTGCAACTCGCTGCTGTGGTTTAGGCCCTACTCCTTAGGGTAGATAAGCCTAATTAGAGGTATACAAGTTTTTTCTATAACCAAGACCTTGACACTGGTATGAGGTAGACTTTGCTACTGGTGACAGGTTGACCTTGCTAGTGTTACAGGTTGGCCTTGCTAGTGGTGACAGGTTGGCCTTGCTAGTGGTGCCTGGTGGTGGGTTGTCTCAGGGTAGTTTCAAGCCTTATATTTCACTCAGGGATAGATATAGCTGGTTTTGTGCAGCAAAGGGTATAGGAATAATAGGAAAGGAAGGAATTGAGCATCCTTGCTAGGTTCAGTTTGGATAGAAATAACA